TGTCTGTCTGTCTGTCTGTCTTCTTTCCAGTGTGTGTGTGTGTGTGTGTGTGTGTGTGTGTGTGTGTGTGTGTGTGTGTAAGTACAAGAGCTTTGGGTTACCTTTACTCACTGCTCTGCATACCCATCTCTGGTCTCACTAATGGTCCCAGGTTTGCCTAGAATTTTCTATGTGTCACAAGACAGCATCTAACTCAAGATCATCTTGTTTCTGCCTCTGAATCATTAGAAGTAATGGCATAAGCCATAATACCTGATGTACTAAATGTTTTAATAGAAGAAAGGCTAATCGGCCTTGAGCAAAAAGGTCATTCTGTAGCAGAGATCTTTAGGATTCAAGTCTTCCCTGGATTCCAGCCTGCTGTCCTGCCTTGCAAACTTTAAAATTGCACTTCTATAATTCCATGAGTAAATTTCTTATGCATCACATGTGCACATGTACACACACACACACACACACACACACACACACACAGAGTTCTGCCTCCCTAAAGAACTATAGCATAAAGACAATGAGACTAAATGCACAAAACCACATCTGCTTGAAAAAGAATGTTCTCAGCAGCATCTTTATAATTGGCAAAACCATGAAACATCCCTAATAGCCATTCACTATGATTGGTACAAATAAATTACAATATACTCATCAGTGAACTAGGAGACACTGATGAGAATAAATACACTCAACACCGACATGCCTGACAAATACAACAGTGAACAAAACAAAATTCACCTGTGCTTATCATCTCCTTGGGAGGTGGAAAAGTGGCGGTAGTGACCCCTGAGGGTCCTGGCATGTTCCTAGCAATGGTCTGTTCCTTCATCTGGAGTTTAGACACTTATGTGAGCCAATTACTGATAATTCATTCATCTGTATGGCCCGCCCCCTTCTCATGTATGTGTTCTATTTCAGTGATTATAAAGGTAGAAAAAAAAAAAACAAAATGCTTTTTCAATTACTCATTACTCTAGTTTGAAACTCTCTGTAAAATATAGTGAACATTCATACACTTAAAATGCACAATTTAGAACTGAAATACTAAATATGGAATTACTATGAACATGTTACAGTCTCTAAGAACATGGAGAAAGCTGAGACTTTGGGCCTCAGAATTACCCCAGAGGGTTACCAAGTACTCTTTTATTTCTATGAGAGACAGGGTTCCACAGACAACCTGGCACAATAATCCTCTTGGCATCTAGAATGAAATGCTTTGGCTGTTTTCTCTTTGGGGGGGGCAGGGATTAGGGAATGAAATTTCTCACTGTGATTATTTTTGTGGGTCTCTAGGCAACCTAAGTAAGACAGACACACAATCTATACTGCACACTTCAAGGACTGAAATCCATTCCCTAAACTGTAAAGCGGGGGAAAAGGCAAAGAACACAAGCTAAAATAAGCTAGTGCATTGTTTAAGCAATAACAACAAGCACACTTGAATTTGAGGCTGGGGAAGAAATGAATGTCTGTATGCCAGGAAGTGGCTGCACTCAGGGAAAGTTGATGGTTTCTTTGTTTATTTTTACATTAGAATAAAAAAGTAGAACACACATAAGATGGGATGGAATGATGGGAAATGGGAACCCAGAAAATCTGACAGTGTTGGTCTTTCACCAGCCCTTGGTGTCTGTGGGTCCTGACTTATATCCAATCCACAGACATTACATGCTCACATCCAGACCTACCCCTGTGTTGAAACCTGTACGTCTCTCCAGCTGGCCTCAAATACCTCCCCCTCTCTCTCACTCTTCTCCCGCTGCCCCCCTCCTCCATATGGCCTGTGCTACAGCCTATCTCTACCTCTTGATTTAGAGGAATAGAGCAGGAACCCATAGCTTCAGCAATATGACAAACTCCTCCTCATCCCTCAAGACCCAATGCTCCTCCACCCAATCTGAACATGGCACCTTCTACTTAAGTCAGCCTTAAGTTCGTCCTACATCCATCCACCGCTCTGATCTCCTTCTGACCCATCTTCCTCTGCCATTTCTCTGCTCACCCCTCTCCCTTGTCCTCTTTCTACCCATATTGCCTGCCTCCCTGTTCTTTTCACTTCCTCCATCTTCTCTACTCTTCCCTCTTCTCCACTCCTCCCTCTCCTCTTTGTGAGCTTTGGCCTCTTAGTACGGAAGAGCTGGGAATCAAATCTCTACCAATGAAGCTGTTTACATATAGATAGCAAAACAACTGTGCCCCTTTGTCTGGCTATTGCATCATTTCTGGCATAATGCCTTTGGAAAGAGCCTCTAGTGATACAGCAGGCAGCAGGAAGACCACATGAAACCGAATAAAACATCAGCACTGGGCAAGTGTGGTTCATCATACATTTTTTAAGCCCTAGCTCACAGAGCAGAACAGAGAATTAGTTTCAATCAGCCCCCACACAGTCTTTTTTAACTAGCTGAAACCTTCAGTTTTCCACTCAGGACTTTCCTATTCAGAAACTAGGCAAGAAGACAGCTAAAACTGCAGCCTATGCTCCAAGGCCAGCTCTTTTTAGATGCACTTGTTCAGCCCTTTCTTGTTGTGGTCCATGAGTCACTGTCACCCTTGCTTCAGCTTCTATATGATACCTACAGGATAATACGCTCACTATAAGTCTCAAAAGTCATAGGACACATGGAGAGAGAGAGAGAGAGAGAGAGAGAGAGAGAGAGAGAGAGAGAGAGAGAGAGAGAGAGAGAAATTCCATGAAGCATGCTGCTGTCTTCAGTGGAAACCGTATGCCCACACTTAGGCAAGTCAATAAAGGTGGCCAAGACTTTCTCTTCTAGAATATGCTATGACAGGTATGCCTTCCACTTCTCCAAGTAGCTCTGAGAATTGAATGAAGAGAATAAGATAAGTAAATCTCCCACAGATTAGAAATTGAGGTAGAGAAGGCCAGAGGTTCACTGGTAACCTCCTATGTTAATGTACAGGTATTCTGTGTTCTGAAATGTAGCAGTTCATGAGTGAGAAACACAGAACTTCAAGATAAGTGATGTGGGATATCATATATATATATATATATATATATATATATATATATATGTATATATATGTTATAAATATGTATGTTTCTCTTATTGGTTGATGAATAAAACATTGATTGGCCAATAGCCAAGCAGAAAGCATACACAAGGCTACAAGGCCAAGGGAAGGCTGGGGAGAGGAAGGCAAAGAGGAGATGCCATGTAGCAGAGGAAGGAATAACAGGTTTGGACCCTTCTCTGGAAAGATAAGACCACATGGAAATACTTAGATTAATAGAAATGGGTTGATAATTAAGAGGGAGCTAGCCGATAAGAAGCCTAAGCCATGGGTCAACAGTTTCATATTAATAAAAGTTTCTGTGTGTTTATTTGGGGCTAAACAGCTGCAGGGCCAGGCTGGAAAGAAACTCCAGCTACAGATAGGTGACAAAGAGGTTCCTACCTCCTCTTCCCAATCATGTTGCTGGCAAAACAAGACCACAGGTATCAGGAGCCCATAAGGAAGTGATAGAAATCATTTATGGAGAAGAAAAGCAAAAGAAAAATCTAGAAGAAAAAAAGCAATTGAAATGATGACCAAAGAAGGTGATTGTTGGTGTTAGGAATAAAAATTAAAATGAGGCAAAATTTAAAAAAAAAAAAAGTCTCTTAGTTGGGGTTTCTATTGCTGTGATGAAATAGCATGACCAAAAGGCAAATTGGGGAGGAAAGTGTTTATTTGACTTACATTTCCATATCACTGTTCATCATCAAAGGAAGTGGGGACAGGAACTCAAATAGGGCAGGAACCTGGAGGCAGGAGCTGAGGCAGAGGCCATGGAGGGGTGCTTGCTGCTTGTGTTTTGCTTAGCCTGATTTCTTACAGACCCCAGGACCACCAGCACAGGTGTGGCACCACCCCAAATGAGCTGGTTCCCCCTCTTCATCTGTCACTAATTAAGAAATTCCCTACAGGCAATCTTCTGAAAGTATTTTATTAATTGAGGCTCTCTCCTCTCAGATGAATTTAGCTTATATCAAGTTGACACAAAACTATCCAGCACAAGGAGGAAAAGAGAAGATCCAGAAAAGCAATTCTCCAGTTGTTAGTTCTTGTCATCTGAGAAGCACACACCAGGGCAGGAATAAACAAGTAAAGATTTGACTCAGGGAAGAAACCATGTGGAAAATAATTGGTAGGCGACTGGAAAGGAACAGAAGGCTGACAGGCTGCAATTCAAGTGTGACCCTAGAGACAGAGAAAAGGAAACAAAGGTGGGTGGGAAAATCCCAGCCTGCTGCGTGGTCTGAGACTTTTTGGCAAGATGGGTTACAGTTGTATGAAAAGTAAGTTTTCCAGGTGGGTTTGAATTGCCTCTGCTCCCCTGAGTCAACAAATGCTACTGAGCTGGCAGATGCTTGAGCTTCGTATGCCACTGTGGTGATAGTTTGGCCTGTCTTTATAGAGTAGTGGTCTAGCTATGAGAAAACGTCAATCAACAGAGTGTAGATGTGGAGAAGCATGAGGGCCAGAGTTGAAGCCCCAGAACCCAAGAGAAGTCGGGTGTAAGAGTTTAAGTCCGCACACCTCTAGCAGCACAGGAGCCAGAGGCAGGAGAATCCCAGTGGCCTCTTGGGCCAGCCAGTGTAGCATAGAGAGCAGTGAACAATAAACAAGAGACCCTGTCTCAAACAAGGTGGAAGGCAAAGACTGACACCTGAGGTTGTCCTCAGACCTTCACACAGGACCCCATGGCAGCACATGGTGCATTCATATACATGAACACCTGTATGCACACACATAAGCAAACAAACAAATAAATAAAAGCACCTTGGTAGGACTATGAAAACTTGTCAGCAAAGTTGAGACCCATTTGTTTGCTTATCTTTCCTAATCTCTAATCTGGGGAAGTTTAAGGGCATACAGATATTTCCAGGCAGGAAGCCAATCCTAAAAGTGAGAAAGTCCCATTGGTAAGCATACACTGGTGAGTGTATGATCAGCTACTCATCACATTGTGACAAAGACCAGAGGTGAGTACAGAGCTACAGAATGGGGATGGCACAGGGCTGCAGTGTGGGGATGGCACAGGGCTGCAGTGTGCGGATGGCACAGGGCTGCAGTGTGGGGATGGCACAGGGCTGCAGTGTGGGGATGGCACAGGGCTGCAGTGTGGGGATGGCACAGGGCTGCAGTAGGGGGATGGCACAGGGCTGCAGTGTGGGGATGGCACAGGGCTGCAGTGTGGGGATGGCACAGGGCTGCAGTGTGGGGATGGCACAGGGCTGCAGTGTGGGGATGGCACAGGGCTGCAGTGTGGGGATGGCACAGGGCTGCAGTGTGGGGATGGCACAGGGCTGCAGTGTGGGGATGGCACAGGGCTGCAGTGTGGGGATGGCACAGGGCTGCAGTGTGGGGATGGCACAGGGCTGCAGTAGGGGGATGGCACAGACATTTGCCATAGCTTCAAAGAGAAACTGCTAATTAAGTGACTTTAACCTTCACATCTTGCTTGTTGCCATGGTGAACACTCCCTATCACCCCAAATGACATGAGCATACACTTCTGCCAAGAAGAGACACTTAATATGTTCAATTCGTGTGACCTACCACCATGCTTCCCAAGACATTGGCCAGTAAAGGGGAACTGTTCCTTTTTGGTTGGGAGGGGGTGTTTGTTTGTTTACCTTTTCTATTATTCATTATTATTATTAGCATGCAAATAATGGGCTTCATTATGACAGTCACACACATACATACATACATACATACATACATACATACATACATCATTGTCTCTTACTCATACCTCCTTCACACTACCTTCTCATCCCTTCTCTGCCCACCCCTTTACTGATCCACCCCTTCCCCCCAAATAGTCAACCTTCTGCTTTCATGTCCTATGCACACACACGTGTAGGTGTATGTGTTAGATCTAAAGGAGGAATGTTAAACACGGCCCTGAGTGCCATCAGACCAAAATTCAGTGTCTTTAAGCAGTAAGCTGGACAGAGCCAGGCCTATGAATTGCTCCTCCTCTTCCTCCTCCTCCTGGGAAACCTATCCAGAGGACACATCTTGCCAAAGAATGGATTTGTACATTTGTACATTTCCTCCACCAGGTGAACTGGGTTTATTCATCCTAGCTGCTCCTTTGCTACAATAGAGACTGAGAAGACATACACATTTCCCTCCTACTTTGTACCTGCATCTGTAGAAGCAGATAGGTCACAGACCATGAGGAAGGCCTACCTTCGACTGCTAAGCGCCCTCACTTAAGACTCTGCTGTGAGTCCAGAGTACCTGGAGCCCCAACTGACACACAGAGAATTCTGCATGTTGAAGTAGGAGAGGGCAGAGTCTTTACCAAATCCACCCAAAGGGACCCAAAGCTTAGCAATAATGACATGAGGCTTCAGCGGGGCTCCTCAATGTTCTGTGCATGCAATTTGCCAAGGGGTCTTGTTAAACTCAGACTGCTTCAGACAGACTGGCTGCTGGGCCTGAGCATGTGTGTCTTGACAGGCTCCTATGTAATGGGGTGATGTCACATGTCGAATAGCATTTCCAGTATAGATCTTAAAGGCCACTGATGGCTTCGTGGATAACATGCAGGGTAGTAGTTCCTGGACATTTCCTGGCCTCTTGATCCAGGCAACCTACTGTTGACCTTGGAGGGAAAAGAGGAGAAAAGAGAAAATTCTTACTACGTTTCCATCTTCCGGGAGAACTTAGTGGTGCATTCATGTGTCCACAGTGTACCATTTCAGTGTGCTTTCATGTAAAAATATTGAGATTCCTCCTTTAGTTTTCCCTTGCACCTCTGGGAAGTCAGAGGCGAGCAGTAGCCTCAATTCTCCTCAGGGGTCCCGGTTCCGTTACTCAGAAGCTGGCATCCTAGAATCCCCTCTCCTGCACAGAGTGGCCACCAGGGTCACTGTTGAAAGTCTCTTCCTGGACAGATCACCCCTGGTCCTCTTGAGGACCTCGCCCTGTGGGTGGTAAGCTACTGCAAGCAAAGCACAGCCCAAGGGGAGAAGGTGCCTAGTCACCTATCACAGGCCAACCATTTATACACAGCAAGGGCAGCAAACTCGGGTCCTGAGCCTCAGCAAGCACAGCCTCTCTCCACTCCCATCTGGGCTGTTCTGATACTGAGTGTGAGGCTCAGTGTTTCCCTCGGGCTGTCAGATAAGTATGTGAGAGCACTCTGAAAGCTATGAAGCGTGGTGTGAACTGCTGATACTGAGTAAATATGTACCACATCCTGGCTAACTACTTTGTGTTTCTGTCATTTTATCTTTACATCACACAGGAAGTAGGCAGATTTTACAGACACTGAAACCATAGCTCAGAACAGTTGAGTTGTCTGTGGGGGGTACAGTTTCCATGACTTAGAGGCATGACTTGAAACCACAACTCTGACTCCAATGCTCACAGACACAGAAATAAGACAAAAGGTAGAAAAAAAAAAAAAAAACGTATAAATCAAGATCAATCTTTATGCTCAATGGAGGATTTTTAACATGTTTAAAAAAAAAAAGCCCTCAGAAATGAAAGTAGCAAAAATTTCCTAGAACATCTGAGACAAATCTGTGTCTTTACATTGTGGCACAAAGTTCCATCTGAATGTTATTGTATAGCAGATATGAAATCACACAGCCAGACACCATATAGATTATATAATGGGAAAATCTGCTTATAAACATAGAAAAAAAAGATGGCAAGTAGGGTTCATCATAACCCCAGAAAAGAGGTAAGAGAAAAAGGTGCCCAGGTAGTACACCTTAGCCTCAGAGCAGGTGAGTAAGCTGGAGGACTTATCCAAATAAAGAGTAGAGAAAAAAGCTTTTATGTTCTGTAAACAATGGGGGATTTAAAAATGAAAATAGAGCCTGCCTTTCGGTCAGATTATTAAAAAAGAAACGCTGCACGATAGCATTTGAAGGACCTTTAAGGGGAGAGGTGGGTTTCGCAAAGCTACTCATCAGATCTTTATGAAATTGTTCTCATAGCATACAGCCTCAGGCAGAAGATACATGGAAAGATCCATGGGAGTCCTCAGGGAAAAGAATGACAGCCATCAAAATGATAGCCAATGATATTTCAGTCAGTGGTCAATGACTGAAGGCTTATTTAAAGATTGACAGGGACCAGTAAGATGACTCATCATGTAGAAGAGCTACTATGCAAGCCGGATGCCCTTAGTTCTCTTCCCAGAATCCATGGCATAACGAAAGAACCAGCCCATGAAAACTGTCCTCCAATCTCTCTATATACTCACCCTGGCATGTGCCCCCTGACATAAACACGCATAATAAATGAAATAAAAAATAAATAAAATTGTTTTATAAAGAAGGAAGGGAAGCAAATTGGTACCACAATATGAACTGAGGTGACAATAGAGAGTGGTGGGGACTGTGGCAAACTGGACAACATTGGCTACCTCTTTGGGGAAACATGACCCTCTTCCCTGGCTGAGACTAGGACTTTTGAAGCAAGGAAACCCATCTCTGGATTCGGAGGCTCCAAGTTTCTTGTATTTGCTTTTTCACTCGGAACCAAGCACAATGGAACCAAGACTTCTTTGAATGAATGTCTTCATGAGCTGGCATAGCTATTTCCACATGTGACTTATGGATACTTATAGCCTAGGAAGGCTTCAATGGCAGAAGACTTGCTAAGGCCACCACCATGTATGTGTATGGAACTGAGAGGGAATATTGATGATGTGCTGATCCTGTCAAGTCCCATGCTGCAAGAGACACATAGACACAAATCAAATGAAAAGCCACCTGGCTTTTGGAAAGACCTCAACCATGACAGATGGAGACAAACATGTCATGTCCATGGAGACCTGCTTTTTACCACAGCCTACATTAGTTGGGCACTGGAGCCCTGGTTAGTGATGAAGAAAGGATAGACACATAGATACAGAGAGAGCCAAGCACACACCATATAGGCTGCAAAGACAGGCAGACAGGACATCTCTGGTCTGTTGGGGTTCGCAGCATTGGAAGGCCAAAATCTCAGTATGTTTATGGAGGACAGTACAGAGTTAGTGGTTAGATAGTCTCCAATGGAGATCTTTTGGGGAGTAGCCTGACTCTCAGGCTGTAAACACTCTGGAGGAAGAAAAAACTTCAGACACCAGTCATTGCACACACTCATCAACCACCCATGAACACTCACACCCAGACCCCAAGGAAAGCTTTACAAGTGCTCTTATGCCTGGACCATATGGAGGATGGCTTTGCCATTTCCAAGGCCTTGATGTTGTTGACATGGCTGTGCCCATACCAACAATACGTATTCACTCAGGGATTCCTCCACTTCCTAAAGCCTTATAAATGAGGTGTCATGAGAGACCAGAAACCACACTTGACCCAATAGAGAAAAGTTAATTTACCTCACAGTATTTAAGAGCCAAATGTGCATTCAAGGCAATAGACACAACCATGGACTTTGCTGTTCTTTGCTTAAACACATATTGTATTACCAACATAATGAAGCAGATGATAGTGGATGTAGTGAGGAGAGACTAGATGTTGCATGCCCCTATCATCAGGACAAGTAGGTAGTCTGTCAGGGCCCATGAGAGATACAGCAGCTGTTAACTAGTGTTAACTCTTAATAGCCTGCCTTGTTCTCTTACTCAGACTACTGCATATAATTAGCTCACTTCACTTCAGAACAAATTCAAACTAAAGATATTTTATAAATAGATCATAAGTTTGAAACCTTACAACTATGTACAAGGTCAGAGCCAAAGATGTCCAAACAAGGTTACTAAGAAAAGCATGCCTATTCTTCACTTGCCAGTCTACTAACAATAGAGCTATGTTTCAAAGTTGTCTTTGGGTACTGTGTCCTCCTCTGTCTGGTCATGGTTTTACTCCTACAGTTTTGGACCCTTGTGTTGCCATGGTAAAAGGCTCAGTTCCTTATCACTTCCCATAGGAATCTGCTTTTGGCCAATGAAACTTTTTTTATCACATCAAAGCTCCTGAAGGAGAAGAACTTAGAATAGAAGAAGCATCTAGAAGAAGCATAGAGAAGTTAGAAGTGGGACAGGATTATTAGAGTAAAAGCAACAGGAAAGAGCATGAACCTCAGATAGTGTGAAAATTACTATACAAATCCTTTAACCCCTCCTTTACTCCTGAGAAGCATTTCACCTTGGGAACCCTGGGTAGGGGCTGGAGCAGGTATTTTAGCCCTTATGGTAGTCCACAGAAGCTGGGTGAAGACTTTAGTGATATGATATTTATGCTTGCCTGAAGGATCAGAATGCAAAGCCAGCCACACTAGTCAGCTAGTGTGGGCATAGTGACACACACCTTTAATCTTAGGACCCAGGAGACAGACGAAGATGGATCTCTGTGAGTTCAAGACCATCCTGGGCTACATGAGAGTGAATCATCTGAAAGAGTAACAGAGCTCATGTCTTTAATCCTAGCACT